GAACCCAGAAAGAAAACACTTGCATATATGGTCAAATGATTTTGACAAGGAGACCAAGACCCATTCAAGAAAGAAGAAATCATCTTTTCAGCAAATGGTACCAGAAAAACTGGATATCCACAGGTAAAGGAAGAAGGAGGATCCTTACCTTATACTACATACAAAAATGAACTGAAAATGGATCAATATTTGCAGTGACAAATATGCTAATTACCTTAACTTGAGCATTAAACGTTATATACATATTAAAACACGACTTTATACACCAGAAATATGCACAAATTATTATATCAATTAATATTTTTTTTGAGACAGATCTCGCTCTGTTGCCCAGACTGCAGTGCAGTGGCAAGATCTCAGCTCACTGCAACCTCTGCCTCCCAGGTTCAAGCGATTCTCCTGCCTCAGCCTCCCAAGTAGCTGGGATTACAGGCATGTGCCACCACGCCCGGCTAATTTTATATTTTTCGTAGAGATGGGGCTTCTCCATGTTGGCCAGGATGGTCTTAAACTCCCTACCTCAGGTAATCCGCCCACCTCCACCTCCCAAAGTGCTGGGATTACAGGCATGAGCCACTGTGCTGACCTAAAATTTTTTAATTAAAAAAAATTTTTTTTAATTTTACACAAAGGATCAAAGACTTAAATATAAGACTAAAACTATAAAGCTCTTAGAAGAAAGCATAAGGAAAAAGCTTCATGACACTGAAATGTTTTTTTTTTTGAGACAGTCTCATTCAGTTGCCTAGGCTGGAGTGCAGTGTCACAATCTTGGTTCACTGCAACCTCCGCCTCCCGGGTTCAAGCAATTCTCCTGCCTCAGTCTCCCGAGTAGCTGGAACTACAGGCATGTGCTACCACACCTGGTTAATTTTTGTTTTTTTTTTTTTTTTTTTTTTTTTTTTTTGAGATGGAGTCCTGCTCTGTCTCCCAGGCTGTAGTGCAGTGGTGCGATCTCAGCTCACTGCGAGCTCCGCCTCCCGGGTTCACACCATTCTCCTGCCTCAGCGTCCCAAGCAGTTGGGACGCCAGAGGCCCGCCACCACGCCCGGCTTTATTTTTTATTTTATTTTATTTTATTTTATTTTATTTTATTTATTTTATTTTATTTTATTTTACTTTATTTTATTTTATTTTATTTTTTTGAGACGGAGTCTCGCTCTGTCGCCCAGGCTGGAGTGCAGTGGCCGGATCTCAGCTCACTGCAAGCTCCGCCTCCCGGGTTCACGCCATTCTCCTCCCTCAGCCTCCTGGACTACAGGTGCCCAGCACCTCGCCCGGCTAGTTTTTTTGTATTTTTTAGTAGAGATGGGGTTTTACCGTGTTAGCCAGGATGGTCTCGATCTCCTGACCTCGTGATCCACCCGTCTCGGCCTCCCAAAGTGCTGGGATCACAGGTGTGAGCCACCATGCCCGGTCTAATTTTCCTATTTTTAGTAGAAACGGGGTTCCTCCATGTTGGCCATGCTGGTCTGGACCTCAGGTGATCCGCGCCTCAGCCTCCCAAAGTGCTGGGATTATGGGCGTGAGCCACTGTGCCAGGGCATGACATTGAATTTGATAATGATTTCTTGGATCTCTGATACCAAATGCACAGGTAACAAAAGAAAAGAGACAAACTGGACTTCATTTAAAAACTTTGTACATCACAGGACTCACCAACAGAGTAAAAAGACAAGCCACAGAATGGGAGAAAATATTTGCAAATCATATATCTAGCAAAGGATTAATATCTAGAATATATATAAAATTCCTAAAACTGAACAAAAAAACCTCATTCGAATACGGGAAAAGGATGAGGTGTGGTGGCTCACACCTGTAATCCCTTTGGAAAGCTGAGGCAGGCAACCCAGGAGTTTGAGGCCACCCAGGTAACACAAAGAAACCCTGACTCTACAAAAAATACAAAAATTAAGTGGGCATGGTGGTGGCATGCCTGTAATCCCAGCTACTTGGGAGGCTCACCTGCATCTGGGAAGGTCGAGGCTGCAGTGAGCCAAGATAGCACTACTGCACTTCAACGTAGGCATCAGACTGGGACCCTGTCTCACCAAAAAAAAAAAAAAAAAAAAAAAAAAAGAGAAAATGACTGGAATAGATATTCTTCAAAGAAGACATACAAATAGCTAATAAGCACATAAAACCATGCTTGGCATCACTTATCATTACAGAAATGCAAAATAAAACCAGAATGAGAGACTGCTTCACACTTCATAGATGCTAGAGGGAGGGAGGGAAGAAAGAAGGAAATAAATTGGCAGGGATGTGGAGAAGTTGCAACTGTGGTGCACTGCTGATGGGAATGTAAAATGCTGTAGCCAATAGAAAAAAATAGCATGGTGGTTCCTCAAAAAAGTTAAAAACAAAACTACCATATGATGTATCAATTTCACTTCTGGGTACCCAAAGAACTGAAAGCAGGGTCTCAGAGAGATATTTGAACCCCCCATGCTCATAACAGCATTATTCGCAATAGCCAAAAGATGGAAGCAAGTGTATGTCAATGGATGTTAGAAAAACAAACTGTGGGCCAGGCGCAGTGGCTCACACCTGTAATCCCAGCACTTTGGGAGGCCAAGGTGGATGGATGAATTGAGGTCGTGAGTTCCAAAACCAGCCTGACTATCATGGTGAAACCCCATCTCTACTAAAAAACACAAAAAAATCAGCCGGGCTTGGTGGTGGTTACCTGTAATCCTAGCTACTCAGGAGGCTGAGGCAGGAGAATCACTTGAACCTGGGATGGGGAGACTGCAGTGAGTTGAGATGGCGCCACTGCACTCCAGCCTGGGCAGCAGAGTGAGACTCCATCTCAAAAAAAAATAAAGAAAGAAAAACAAAATGTGATTTACATATAAAATGGAATATTATTCACTTTTATAAAGAAAAAAAATTTCTCATACATCTTTTTTTTCTTTTTTGTTTTGTTTGTTTTGAGACGAAGTCTTGCTCTTGTACCCCAGGCGGGAGTGCAATGGCACCATCTTGGCTCACTGCAACCTCCACTTCCCAGGTTCAAGCGATTCTCCTGCCTCAGCCTCCTGAGTAGCTGGGATTACAGGTGCCTGCCACCACAGCCAGCTAATATTTTTTGTATTTTTAGTATAGACCGGGTTTCACTATGTTGGACAGGCTAGTCTCGAACTCCTGACCTCAGGTGATCCATCCACCTCAGCTTCCCAAAGTGCTGGGATTACAGGTGTGAGTCACCGTGCCTGGCCCTTTTTTTTTTGAGACGGAGTTTTGCTCTTGTTGCCCAGGCTGGAGTGCAATGGCACGATCCCAGCTCACTGCAACCTCTGCCTCTTGGGTTCAAGCAATTCTCCTGCCCCAGCCTCCCGAGTAGCTGGGATTACAAGCATGCACCGCCACACCTGGCTAATTTTGCAGGCTGGTCTCGAACTCCTGACCTCAGGTGATCCACCCACCTCGGCCTCTCAAAGTGCTGGGATTACAGGTGTGACCCACTGCGCCCGGGCAAAGACATTATGCTAAGTGATAAATACTGTATGATTCCATTTACATGCAATACTTAGAGTAGTCAAATTCATGAAGACAGAAAATAAATTGGTGGTTGCCAGGGGCTAGGAGGAAGGGAGAACGGGGAATTTATTGATTACTGGGCACCGAGTTTCAGTTTTGCAAGATAAAATGTCCTGTGGATAGATGGCAGTGATTGTACAATGTGAATGTACTTAATGCCACTGAATTGCACACTTCAATTGTTAAAATGATTTTAAAAATTAAACATTCAGGTATGATTTTAAAAAAACACTGTATAGTTCCACTTGTATGAGGGAGTCAAACTCATAGAAACAAAAAGCAGAATGGTGGCTGCCAGGGACAGGAGGAGGAGCAAGTGCGGAATTGTTTCAGGGATACAGAATTTCAGTTTTGCAAACTGAAAAGGTCTGCATATTGGTTGCAACAATTGAACGGTACACTTAGAAATGGTTAAAATGGTAATTTTTTTGAGACAGAGTCTTGCTCTATCACCCAGGCTGGAGTGCAGTAGCGCGATCTTGGCTCACTGCAACCTCCCAGGTTTGAGCGATTCTCCTCCCTCAGTCTCCCAAGTAGCTGGGATTAGAGGTACCCGCCACCACGCTTGGCTAATTTTTTATTTTCAGTAGAGAAGAGGTTTCATCATGTTGGTCAGGCTGGTCTTGAACTCCTGGCCTCAAGTGATCCGCCCGCCTCAGTCTCCCAAAGCACTGGGATTATAGCTGTGAGCCACCGCACCTGGGCTAAAATGGTAAATTTTGTTAAGTATATTTATTTATATATTTTTTGAGATGGAGTTGCACTGTTGTTGCCCAGGCTGGAGTGCAATAGCGCGATCTCAGCTCACTGCAACCTCTGCCTTTCAGGTTTAAGCGATTCTCCTCCCAGTTTCCCAAGTAGCTGGGATTACAGGCATGTGCCACCACACCCAGCTAATTTTGTATTTCTAGTAGAGTCAGGGTTTCTCCATGTTAGTCAGGCTGGTCTTGAACTCCCAACCTCAGATGACCCAGTTGCTTCAGGCTCCCACAGTGCTGGGATTACAGGCATGAGCCACCGCACCCAGCCATGTTATGTGTATTTTACGACAGTTTTTAAAAAGTGTTATACATGAATACAGAAGATACACATGGAAGATTTGCACACACGCACATGGAATTTGTTTTGTCTTCAGAGTTCTCTTGGAGAAGGAGTGGGAGAAATGCATTTAGTTCACTGATGGTACCACCCGTGTGCCTGCTGTAACACCAAATGGTAAAAGAAAATTACTGATTATCCTAAGTGAAATGACAAAAGCTTTTGAAATTTATCAGTTCTAGAACTGAATCTAAAAAACTTGGGCTAGTTTTCTTCTCCTGTAAACTACTGATACATGACATTTTCCATTTTAATAGGTTGAACTCATTCCAAACCAAGAAAAGGAACTGGACACTACAAGAACTCACAGAATACGATCAAGCCACTTTTGCCTCAAGCAAACACAAACATAGAAGGACTTCATTGATCAACTTTATAAAAAATACTTTAACTTGTAAACTCTACTTTTCATCCAATTTGGTCTGAATTCTGGGAATGGGGGTGATGCAATAGGTCATACAAACTGGGACTCCAAGAAAAGATTTTTAAAACCCCATTAAGTTTTGTTCCTTACTCTGGAAGGGTCCCTATGTCCAACTTTCGGTTGTTTCATCTACAATACTATCATCCTCCTTTAAATCCAAACCCAGCTGAATATCAATACATGGTTGCTACGAATGTAGCAACTATCATTTCACCATGTGTCACTCTCTTCCTACTTAAGAGATTTATTTACTTGGTCAACTTGTGGCTTTTCATTGCTGTGAGAAATTCTCTGACAGTCTCAGGACTCTGGTGTCTGCATGGTGATTTTGATATGTATTTTAACATCTAGGAAAAAAAAAAGAAAAAAGCCAAGCATAAGACAAAGAACCCTGAATGAGAAAAAGGAAACGCAATGGCTATTAAAATTCTAAAATTTTGTTTTAAAAATCCTGTACAGGCCGGGCGCGGTGGCTCACACCTGTAATTCCAGCACTTTGGGAGGCCAAGGTGGCCGGATTACCTGAGGTCAGGGGTTCAAGACCAGCCTGGCCAACATGGTGAAACGCCATCTCTACTAAAAATACAAAGAAAAAGTTGGATATGGTGGAAAAAAAGCTGGGTGTGACGGTGCACGCCTGTAATACCGGACACTACAGAGGCCGAGGCAGGAGAATCACTTGAACCTAGGAGGCAGAGGTTGCAATGAGCCGAGATTGCACCATAGCACTCCAGCCTGGGTGACAGAATGAGACTCTGTCTCAAAAAAAAAAAAAAAAAAAGAAAAAAATCCTGTATAAAACAAACAAAGAGGCGTTCAGGAGAACCAATCTTCATGCAATACGAATTCCTGAAAGAGAAAATCAGTAGCTAGAACAGGAAGAATAAGTAATGAAATTTTAGAAGAAAACTCTTCTGATCTTAAAAAAAAAAAAAACTCAATCTGACAATTATGTTATATTTTGGACAATTTTTTTAAAGAGGGGGATCCCAAAGAATAAAATAAATTGCCATGAGTCTACATGGATATATACTAATGAATAAATAAATGGGTAAGAAGAGACAACTTTTTCTCATGGAAGAATTCTAACTCGTATGAGCTGGGTGCAGTGGTGCACACCTGTAATCCCAGCACTATGGGAGGCCAAGGCAGGAAGATCACTTGAGCCCAGGAGTTTGAGACCAGACTGAATTAACACAATAAAATTTTGTCTCTTAAAAACATATATATATATATATATAATTCTAACTAATAAGCATAGAGGAATGAGAACAATTTTAAAATCACTCTCAGGCAACTGTACCATAGTCATAATTACTGCAGAAAGATCCACCAATGAATGCTAAAATTGATGATTAAAAGCTTAAGGAAGGGTAGGCTGTTTTCCTAGCCTCAAAGCATCTCCCACAAAATATTTCTTAATTACTGTGGTGGTTTTAACACACATAACACAAATTCTTTGATATCCCTCCCTTTAAGAGGTGAAGCTTAATCTCCCCCTTCCCCTTGAATATGGGCTGAACTTGGTGAATCCTTTCTAACATAATATGGAAATGAAGAAACAGTAGTTTTACAGTGGACAATCCAGGCAGATGCTATCTTAACCAAATGACCAAAGTTAACAGTATCAGCCATAAGAAACATTGACATCAGCCAGGCACGGCGGCTCACACCTGTAATCCCAGCACTTTGGGAGGCCGAGGCAGGCAGATCACAAGGTCAGGAGACCAAGACCATCCTGGCTAACACGGTGAAACCTCGTTTCTACTACAAAAAAATACAAAAACTTAGACAGGCAGGGTGGCGGGCACCTGTAGTCCCAGCTACTCGGGAAGCTGAGGCAGGAAAATGGCGTGAACCCGGGAGGCGAAGGTTGCAGTGAGCCGAAATTGCGCCACTGCACTCCAGCCTGGGCAACAGAGTGAGACTCCATCCCCCCCTCCCCCAAAAAAAATAAATAAATAAAAAGAAACATCGATATCATGTACCCTGAGATATCATGACATGAGAAGGGGAGATCACCTCTGTAGTACTCTTCCTCAAAAGCCATAGGTTCTGGGTAATCGTAAGAAAATATCGGACAATCACAAATCAAGGGATGTTCTATAAAATACTTGACCAGCCCTTCACAAGTGTCAAGGAAGACAAAGGAAGAGTAAGGACACAGAACAAATGACATGATGGGGACATGTTAACTAAATACAAAATGGTATCCTGAACTGAATCCTGGAACCCAGAAGATAGCAGCGGGAAAACAGGGTATTCAAATAAAATTTTAGCTTAGTTTATTTAATAGTATGTACCAATGTTAATTCTTTGGTTTTGATCACTGTAACATGGTTATGTAAGATGTTAACATCAGAGAAAACTATGGGAAGGGTACATGAGAACTCCCAGCACTGTCTCTACAACTTTTATGTAAGAGAAGAATGGCTGGGCATGGTGGCTCACACCTATAATTTGAGAACTTTGGGAGCCCGAGATCGGTGGATCACCTGAGGTCAGGAGTTCGATACCAGTCTGACCAATACGGAGAAACCCCTTCTCTCCAAAAAATACAAAATTAGCCAGGCGAGGTCGTGCATGCCTGTAATCCCAGCTATTCAGAAGTCTGAGGCAGGACAATCGCTTAAACCTGGGAGGCAGAGGCTGTGGTGAGCCGAGATCACACCATTGCACTCCAGCCTGGGCAACAAGAGCGAGACTCTGTCTCCAAAAAAAAAGAAAAATGATTTCAAAATAAAGGTTTTTTTTTTTTTTTTTTTTTAAATTGATTTGCAATGGTCTGATATTTTCTCATGATTACACAGAATTTGTGGCTTTTGAGGAAGAATACAGATATAATTTGGGAGGAATTATAATTATATATTTTGGGAGGAATCTGAAACTTTATAAAATAAACAATAGCCTTAAGCATCTGAGTCTCTACCACTTTGGAAAGATGCGGTGATAAGATCGCTTGAGCCCGGCCGGGCGCGGTGGCTCATGCCTGTAATCCTAGCACTTTGGGAGGCCGAGGCGGGCGGATCACAAGGTCAGGAGATCGAGACCATGGTGAAACCCCGTCTCTACTAAAAAATAGAAAAAAATTAGCCGGGCGCACTGGCGGGCGCCTGTAGTCCCAGCTACTGGGGAGGTTGAGGTAGGAGAATGGCGTGAACCCGGGAGGCGGAGCTTGCAGTGAGCCGAGATTGCGCCACTGCACTCCAGCCTGGGCGACAGAGTGAGACTCCGTCTCAAAAAAAAAAAAAAAAAAAAAAAGATCGCTTGAGCCCAAGGGTTCGAGACCACCCTGGACAACAACAAAAAAATTAGCCAGGCATGACAGTGCTTGCCCATAGTCCCAGCTACTTAGGAAGCTGAGCTGGGAGCACCACTTGAGCCTAGGAGGTTGAAGCTGCAGTGAGCTGTGATCCCCTTTCAAGGAGAAGTAAGGGCAATCTTTTACACTATTCCTTCTAACTTTGTAGCTGGCTAAACTCTACACTTGACCAAACTCCTCCCACTTTTATAAACAAAATAAAAATCAGGTTAGAGTAAAACTATTCAGATCATATAAAAAGCGATCTTGATTTCGGCAGCTAGTCACTGGGAGAATAAATCCCCCTCCCTCAATGGTACTTGAGGTAGGTCTGCCAGAAGCTCAGGCTTACTTCATAGGTGATGGTGTTCAAGTTCTGTTGTCCAGAGC